CCCCAAAACCCCAAAACCCCAAAACCCCTTTTTGATTTGTAATCATTGAATTTTATTTGATAAATAATTTTTCAAAATAACTATAGTCCTCAATTAAGCCTATCGAGGATGGAAGCTAATTCGTCCACGGAGTTAACGACAAAATCTCCGTTAATGACCTCGAAATACCTTAAAAATATTGATAACATTTGGTTCCATTGAAACAACATTAGTATTTGGACGAATCTTTATTGTTCTAATTCTCTTTTAAGATTCTCAAGATTATTGTTACTTGGGAAAGTTAATTTTGGCATTAAATTTTTTGCTTAATTCACCCAAAATATCAATTAACTATTATCTCCTAACAAATTTTCTCAGTCTCCATTATTTTTAGAAGCTATAAAAATTTCATATCGAGGGTATCTTGGTTTTTAACTAAGATTCTAAAATGGACAAGATGGCTTAAAACTAGCAAATTTTACATAAATATACTCCAAATTACGGAAGGAATAACTAAGTTCAGAAATCTCCCTTTAGGCTCTGAAAGAAATAATTTTTCGAAAGAAAGCGTTCTCGAATCTGAAATTTAGGATGAATTATTTTTATTAATTCTCAAAGGCACTTGGGAATGACTTCTTCTGATTCCATACCTCTGTGCTGAAATTCTTGACATCAATAGAGAAAGCATTTTCCTGCTTAGAGGTATTATACAGGTGAAATTTTGACGGCTTGATATTTATTGAACACCTCCCAACTCTGAGAGGAATACTCGAGCCATAATTGGGACCAAGAATTTTCTGTGTAAAAACCACATCTTTCTTCTTTCTCTTAATTTTCTTAACCATCTCTGAATTAGGCCTCCTGAATTGAGACTTCGACTTCTGACGAGCAACATTCTGCTCTTCTATAGCCTGGCTAAGAGTCTTCTTAGTTGAAAAGTTCTTAGATGGATTTGGCCGAAGAGGCGATTGGTGGGCACAAAGAATTTTCACTCATTCATTTATGTCCTGATGAAATGAAGTCCTGCTGCTAACATTTTTCCGCAGGATGATCTCCTCAGACTCATAGCTTCCGTGATTATTTCAATCTTCTTCTGCAATCTTGTCCGGTTCTGAAGGATGCACTTCAATTGTTTTATCTTCTGGCTAAAATTACAAAATTATTATCGAATTATTGAGTAAAACTAGTGTAACCGAGAGAAAATTATCAAAAATATTTGTTAATTATTCACATTAAATCTTTTTCACAGGGATAGAAGACGAAAGCCCAGACATTTCCCCAAGAAAGTAGGGTCACTTTCAGCAGAAAGGAGATACCAGAAGTGTTAATGAAACCTGACAATACTTCCGTTTCTATATTATCTAACCCAAAAAGACTAAATTTTAGTTAAATTTTGAGTTCCAAACAGCTTAAGAGACCTCAATTTTTATAAAATTTCCTTGCTTAGCTGATACTTTTAAGGAAAGTGATTTCAGAATTTTCTGAAATGTGAAACCACTAAAAAGTAAAATTGCAGAAGAATAAGAGTCTTACTACAGATCTTCATCATGATATCTTGCTTCTGAACTTCCCGATCATTTGCTGGATGATCTATATCATAGTTGAGCAATGAGTTGGAGAAGCTCAAAGGGTAGCTGGGACCTTAAATAGGTAAATTAATCTGTAAGGCCCTATTATTTAATGTTTTCATAATACGTACATATAAATATTATACACTTGCAATTGATAGAAAGTTATGTGGGGTTTTGGGGTTTTGGGGTTTTGGGGTTTTGGGG